GCCTTTGGTTTACAGGCTACAGCAGTTAAGCCAGAAGCCAGTGACTGGTACTAGCTTTCCTACAGCCCCATGAATAGAGCAGAAAGCCTGGAATCTATGAAAGCTGCAGATAGAGCTACTAAAAGCTCCCTGCTTGCAAATGTACTGAAAGGGTTTAGTACCTGTTGCTGCTGTTACAGGAGGGGCTGATATCCCTTTCCAGTGCACTCCCTTGGAAGAGGCCTGGTTGCTGCTCTGCCATAAAGGGGACTAGTGGGAAGACAAGGATAGCAGGGCCCTATAACTAATAAACAGGGTTAACAAAAGGGCAAAGAAAAGGGCGCTCTCCCTGGACCTGGGAGCCATCAGGACTTTGAAATTCTCCAAGACAGGAGGAGTCTGACTCAGAGACTGGCCGAAACCTCATTGGGTTAGGAGGACCGGAGGCTGCATATTGAACTTATAGACTACAGTTTGCTAGGCAGAGGTCCAAGCCCAGTTATATAGGGGTTAAGCTACCTGTGTACAGCAAAACAACTTTCTCCTGTACAAGAATACATTTTAAGGAAATTGGACAGACTGTGTTTATAGCTAGAAAGAAAAACTGGCCGAAATGAACAGAACTGACAGTGGCCTGCAGAAAACTGTATAATAACAGAAGATTTAGCTGCCTGAGGTGGCCATAGTGCCAATATTATGTTTCATTGTATTAATATGTTGTATTGACCTTTGATTCTCTTACAGGTTTGAATGTAGCTGTAGCTGCCAGCAGTTGCTGTAGACCAGTGATTGTCTACAGTCATTGGTAGTCTTTGGGAGTAACTAGCAAGTGTCCAGATTCTCACACTGAGGGCCATTGTTATGGCTATGTGTTAGCTGTCCTAAAAGGGGGTTATGTGGGGTGAACCTCAAAAGTAGAGGGTGCCTAGCTGCCGAGAGGGCAGGTGCCCAACTGGGCAAAGAAGAATACCCATCAGGTTTTGGTCTCTATTGAGAGACAATTGATAGTTGGCAGCATGTATACTGTTTTGCAGGCCTGTGTGACCATGCCCATGTCAGGGGTGGCACAAAACCTCTACTGTAGGAAACTGGGGAAGGCCTATTTAGAACAGAAGGAAGTAGTGAGGTGGTGAGTACTAGCCCTCTGTTACAGGAATTACAGACCCTGTGAGGTCCAGTGACATGTAAGACCCTGTAAGGAAATAAAGCTCCCTTGGTCCATTCTGAGAGAACAAGTCAAGTAAGGGGAACCCTACTACAGGGACAGCTGTAACTATCTATTTGAATATAGACACATTGTAAATTTCTTCTTGCCATTTAAAGACAATTACTCTGAAGAGTCCATAAAAAGGGACTGGCAAGGAAAATCAGAAAATCTTAGAGCAGGTCAGTATGTTTTTCTCCTTATATAATTCCTCCGAAATTTGGCAATGCTTAATAAATTATGGCAATACATTTATTTGCATGGATTCAATAAGACTGGTTCCTAATAGTGATTTTATTGACCGGAAACTTTGACTGGAATATCATGTTTTAAAGAGACCTGTCTAGACTCTGAAGACTTGAAGCCAATAAGAGTGCCACAGGAAAAGCCTGGTATCCTGCTTGGAAGCCCTGAAGATGGCTGGTGCTGGAGCTTCAGGCCCATGCCCTACCATCACTGGCAGTTTGTCAGAGTAGAAGGGGAGCAATAAGGACGCCTCTGTGTCCCTGCAGAACCCCCACACACTCTGGGCCACAATGAGTAGGAGGGCTACTGAGATAGGCCTTAAAGCCTAGGGCGTGGGCCCAGGTGGAGTTGCTACTGGTGAGGGATTCACCTAACTCAGCAGATACTGCAGGCAGACCTGATGGCAGCTGGATGGCTTGGCTTCCTGGCCCTATGGGGCACATTAAGATTCAATCATGAGATTCCAGCGGAGGTAGTCAGTTACCATTCTTGTTGTGTTTATGCAAACAATCAGGCCAAATTGAATACAGTAAATAAATTAGTATTTTAATAAACAGAGGGGTAATTTTAAGGAGAAAAACTCTATTTCAATGGAGGTTATTAAAACTGAAATATTTTCTTTCCCTCCCACCAGACCATTTGTTACAGTTTGTCTTTGCCAGGTCACAAGCCCACCTCCTTCTATGCCCAGGCCTCATTGTCCCTCTGACAGAGAGCAAGGATCTCTTGGCTCTGAGAGAAACTTCTGTCCCTCCTCAGCATGAAGCAGTTGCAGAAGAAATCCAACGCCCATTTTCCCTGAAAGAATTCAGAGCCAGGATCCTTGAGGTAATATAGTAGGCAGTTAGACAGACATGAGCAGAGCAAGGACGATGGGCCAGGTGGCACTACCAGATGTAACTAAGTCTTTCCACCTCTATGTATGTAAGACAAGGGGACTCCCCAGAAGCAAGAGGGAACGAGGCTGCAGACAAAGCAGCCCATGAGGCTGCCCTAAAACCAGTGGGGCCTTTACAGATTCTAGTGACTCTTCCAGACCCTGAACTACTCATCTCACCGGTTTACGCAAGTTCTTTCAAGCTTTACAATCTACCCAGAAAGCAGACCAGAAGCACGTCCGAGATGTTCTGCCAGTATCTGGTTCATCCCTTCCAACCTGGTGACTGTTTGGGTAAAGAAATTTGCCACCCAAGGACTTACTCCTGCCTGGAAAGGACCACCCCCACGGCAGTCAAGGTTGACAGGATCCTGACGTGGCTTCATTACACCCGGCTTAAGACAGCCTAGGCAAAATAGAGAGTCCAGGACTCAGTGGACCCTCATTCCAGGCCCTTATCTTATAAACAGGCCCACTGACTTTATTTGGCAAAGAATTAATTCTATAAAGCTTATAGTCCTCAGGGGTCCCTCCCCAACAATGACCCAAAAGAGTCAATGATTTGACTCATGTACATAAAACCAGTGGGGAATGTACTGGGCTGCATATCTGGCACTTCGGCCAGACGGGGCTCGCTGTGCTGTCTGTTCCTAAAACACATAGATAGGAAGGTACTCACATCAGGCCAGGCCTTGAAATATGGTCTCATGGTCCCTTCCCAGCATGCAGGCCTTCTTTTTCAGAAGGCCCGGAAGTCTCATTCCAAATTTGGGAGACAAAGGACTGGAAAAAGTATAAATAAAGAGAGTTTCCTCCATATTGGGGGCCCAGAATTTGAAAGACACATTTGCCTCTGGGCCTCCACAGAATTTAATAAAATGTAACTTCTGTAGTTTGCACTGCAGTTCAGCCTCTGCTTTGGCAGGGTGCTGTAACTGTAGTCAGCTGGCCAGCTTAATAAAGAGGCTTAAATTTAAATTCTGAGTCGGTGGTCTATCTCACTGAGTGAACCCATAACACCAACCCTTAGAAGTAAAGCAGGTAGAAAATGGGGGATGAGAGCATAGATCCAAGGGACCCAGCGGATCTGAATGGAGCACTGATAGTGGTCACTAGAACTAGTAAATCAAGATCCAAACAAACCAACAATGGGAATAATGATTATAGCCAGGAATTATTGAGTGCTTACTGTATGTCAGTATTGCTCTACGTTCTTGATAGTATCTTATTTAATCCTTACAACAACCTTATGAGGTAGCTAATGTTACAATTTCTGTTTGTCAAATGAGGAAACTATATTTATCTATGGAAGTAACTTGTACAAGGTGACACAAAGATTTCATGGTGCAACTAAGATTTCAATCAATAAGTGTGGATGTATGCTTCAACAGCTGCCAAATTTGGCATGGCTTCTCAATACAGAGCTGTTAAGAGTGACAGAACCAGAATCTCTGGGCTTGACTCATATCTTGGTAGCTCAAAACAAAATGAGATAACACATTTAACACAGTTTAGTGTAGAAAAAAACATTCAATTACTCAAAAAAATTTAAAGAGCCAGAAAATCAATAACTTTACCCTGAAGAGCTCTTCTGTATATTGTAATATGAAATAAGCATCAATCAAGAATATTTTAATGTATTTCCAATTCTAAGGATCCTAGTTGCTTTAGGTACATTGATTATTTTGGGAACATGTTAAGATAATAAATATTACTACAAGTTTTCTTTTCAAGCAAAATAAACAAAGCTTCTGATTGCAGTTTGGAAAACATACAAGACAAAATCTACATGCTGCACAGTAAGCAGTAATTGAGGAGGAAACTGTTTATATCTGCTCCTGTATTCAGGGGTGATATGTAATAGCTAAATATATTTAACAAGCAGGACAGTACAGGTAGCAACTAATTGCAGTGAATGAAGCAGCCAATCAGAATGACAATATGACCATTCAGAACAGATGATGCAATCAATCAGAATGGATGTTGGCTGAAACATAGGTGAGATCATATATGGGGATTTAGCCAAATATCAAACATGCCTATAACTGATGTGAAACTCGATTGTGCCAATATTACTCAACTTTTCTCACAGAGACATATTTGAAAAAAATATAGGTGTTCCTGGGGTAGAATAGGTAATTTTCACTCCCCAGATCCCCTGCTTCTTCTCCCAGCTATAGTGGAGACAAAGTCCCAGTAAGACTGATCCGAGAAAAGCATTATAAATAAATAATAGCTAATATTTATTTTACACTTAGGTACCAGGTGCTGCACATGTATTATCTTCCTTAACATTTGCAACAACCCTATGAGGTGTATACTATTATTATTATTATCCTCGTTTAATTGATGAGGAAACCAAGGCATGGAGAAGTTGAGTAACTTAATCAAGATCATGCAACTAATATATCCCAGAGCTAGCACTAAAACTTGGGCAGTCCTCCCACTTAGCTACAAGTTGTGACATTATTAAAAATGGGCATTCTCATCAACACTATATTATTAGATCAACTCCATTCTTCCATCCAGCTAAATAATAAAGTACAAAAAATATTTGGGCTATGATTTGGAACCCCTGAAATCACTGAACAACATTTGTCTTCAATGTGGTTGCAGTTGTCCCATTTCTGATCTAAATTGCTTCAAAGAAACAGAAAGCAGTGAAGGAGGGCAACAAAGATAAAAGAATATTACCTTATTCTCTTTTCCTCCACTTTCTTCAAATATTCATCTCTCTTTAAAACTCCTAATATCATTTCCTTCTCATGATCTAATAAAAATGAGAGATTGATGAACTCTGAGTTCTTAGACATGGTATTTCAGCAGCAGCTCTGAATAGCAGTGGTTGAATCTTCCAGGTGAATTGATATCCCAAATTCTTAAGGTCCCCTTCAACAACCCAGTCACTCAGTTCTTTGATATAGAGTGATTTTTTTATAAAGTATTTGAAGAATTGCCAATGTTAGTTAGGTATTCTTCCAGGCTACATAGAAAATAGGCTCCACTGGGAATACATTCCAAAAAAAAGTCATTACTGTTTTAACTGAAAAATATTTCCAAAGACTTTGCTGTGGTGTACAGTCAGGTGGAAGCTGAGGGTCACTAATGATGCTCAATATTGATCCTTCAGACAACTACAGGGCAGGAATCATATCCACTGGAGAAGAAAAGGTGGAGAAAACAAAGGAGAAAAAAATTAATTAGGTCATTTTTCCCATAGCATTTGTAAGAGTGTCTAATTTTTGAAACAGTGATATACTTAAGCTAAAAATTATTTTTAATCAGGAAACATGCATTTATTATGCTCATATCATGTGTTTATTACCATGAAATATTATAATATTTAGTTGATTCCAAGTTCTTCATGCAAATTCAATTTCTTTCATTATAATTAGAATTCTTTACTAGCCAGATCCTGTTACCACATTTGCAGCTGACTCATGGACAAATTGGGTCACCACTTGGGGACACCAAGTGTGCAGTCTGTACAAGTCCCTTATATGGCCTCCTCCTTTTCTCTTCCTCCCTACAACTCAGACCACAGCAAAGACAGCAAAGCTAAAAACTACGAAACAGTGCTACATGTATCAACATGAAAATATCTCACAAACATAATATTGAATGAAAAAACTCGTTACAGAAACATTCATGCAGAATAATAGCATATAGATGAAGGAAATAACTTGTGACAACATTAATTTAGGAATACATGTATTTGTATTATAAATACAAGAAACTCAGAGAGATGCAGAGAGGAGAACCCAGGAACTTCAACTGTATTGGGTAATGTTTCATTCTCAAGATGGGTGTTTTTATCTCATGATGTACATGGTTATTTGTGTTCTAGGTATGTGAATACTGTAAAACAGTTGTTCTAAAACTAGCCCCTTGTCAACATCAGAAGCTTTTCAAGCACTGTCCCTTATTCTAACTCTTGAACACATTCTTTCATTGCCTTGGTACCTGGATTCTCTCTATACATCCCCTTAAGAATGATGCATATTAGAGTGATCTACCAGATTTTGTGATTTGGCATCATTCCGTGACACTATCCCTCAGCTTCGCCCCAGGTCTGTGAACTACAATCTTTATGCAAGTTACACTTGGTTTGCTTGGTTCTAGCCAGGTTCCCAAGCATAGCTAAATACTTACTCAAAGACTGCTTAGACTGAACTCAAAATTTCAAGATAACTGGAAGGAGAGAATCTTTTCCAGAGCCTCATTAATTTTCCGAAGTTCCTATTTGTTTGTTCTATACATTGTACACCCAACCAGAACTGAAATGACTTGGAACTGAACTGTTTCCTATAGACCACAAGCTAGTCCTCTCTGAGAAAACTGCCTGGTCAGGACATACATTCTAGATTTAATCAAGTCCTTTTTTCCACCTCCAAAGTCCTAGAGCAGTGATGGCGAACCTATGATACGCATGTCAGAGGTGACACACGATTTCATTTTGGGTGACACGCATGGACAGAGACAAAAAATTGCATAATTCAAATATTTGTCTCTCGAAACGGCCAGAGTTCGGCATCACTCGAGTAATATTATTACTCACGTTACTCATGATCAATAATGCAATTCTAAAACCGGTAAACATGTACATCGGTGTTGCGTAGCAAAAATACATAGTGAATACATCCAAGATACATTGTTCCAATATTGACATTAATATAAAAAGGTTAAGAATTGTACTATAAAGAGATTAATCTTTACTCATGACATTTTATTTTTACTAGAGTGACAAAATGCCCAATTCTGGAAACGGCCTCGTTATTGTCAACATGTGCCTCGGGTAAGCTACCTGTGCGTTCGGGTGCATTCGGCAAACGGACGCACTTGATCGCCATGTTCGTTAGGAGACAGGAGTGGGAGGGTTAGAAGAAAAAGATATACAGTGCAACAGTGCTCAATGAGACATTCTGCATGTCGGATAATTGATTACAGCACCATATATTTGTTGGTTATACATACTATCTTTGAATTGTTTTGCACCAGGAGTCAGTGCAACAACACTGCAAAAAGTTAATAGGTAAGAAACCTATCAACCTTTTATAAAAAACGCTGTGATTTATATTTATTTATTTTTGCAGCCTTGTGATGGAGAATCAAAAAAATTAAAAAGCAAGATTGAATGATAAAGGAAGTGGAAGTAGCAGTAGCCGACCCTTTCAAGACATATGGACCGAGATGTACGGGATTGTCGACAGAAACAATAGATCACTGTGCATACTGTGTAATGAAATGGTAGTAAGCAGAACGTGGAATGTAAAGAGACATTTTGAAACTAATCATTGTCAGCTCTTGAAAAAAGTGTCGATGAAAGGAAGAAATACATTTCTAGGCAGCTACACCTCTATAAAAGTCAATCAAATTCCATCATTAAATTTGTAAGATGCTCTACAAATTTAACATCAGCAAGTTACTGTATTGCTCACTCCATAGCTCAGCATGGAAAAGCCCTCAGTGACAGAGAATTTATTAAGGAAACATATCTAAGATGTGCACCAGCTCTATTTCACGATATGAAAAATAAAGATGATATTATTAAAAGAATTTCTGAGTTACCACTCAGTAGAAATACTATCAAAGAAAGAATAATAGATCTTAACAAAAACGTACAACATCAATTTAAAAAAGACTTAAATAGTTGTAAATATTTTTCGATTTCTCTTGATGAAACTACTGATGTTACATCAAATGCTCGGTTGGCCATTATTGCTAGATATTCTGATGGTCTCACAATGAGAGAAGAGTTGATAAAGTCAGAATCAGTGCCAATAAGTACATCAGGAAACAAAATATGTAAGGTTGTTATAAAAAACATTCAGCCCTGACCAGTTTGGCTCAGTGAATAGAGCATTGGCCTGCGGACTGATGGGTCCCGGGTTCGATTCCGGTCAAGGGCATGTACCTTGGTTGTGGGCACATCCCCAGTGGGAGGTGTGCAGGAGGCAGCTGATCGATGTTTCTCTCTCATCGATGTTTCTAACTCTCTATTTCTTTCCCTTCCTCTCTGTAAAAAAATCAATAAAATATATTTTTAAAAAATTCAGTGACCTAAACATTGATATCTCTAAAATTGTGTCAGTCACAACAGATGGGGCACCAAATATGGTGGGAAACATGTGGGATTCCTGAAATTGTTTATGGAAGCTATTAGACATCCACTTGTACCTTTTCATTGCATTATCCATCAGGAGGTGTGTGCCAAATCGGGATTCTCAGAATTGAATGATTTAATGTCAGTTGTAACAAAAATTGTGAATTTTATAGCTTCTTGACCCCTACACAAGCGAGAACTTTTATAGGAAGTTGATTCAACCTACAGTGGACTACTGATGTTCAATAATATGAGATGGCTGAGTCGAGGTAAAGTACTTGAGCTATTTGTGGAGTGCTTTGAAGAAATTACAGTATTTATTGAGAATAAGGATCTGGCAAACTTTCCTCAGATCAATGATCATAAGTGGCTCAGCAATTTGATGTTTTTTACAGATCTCTCTGTTCATATGAATGAACTGAACTTAAAATTACAAGGTTTTGGCAAAAGTATTGACGTTATGTTTGGATACATCAAATCTTTTGAAAGTAAACTTAAAATTTTCAAGCGAGCTATTGAAACTAAAACTTATAAGTATTTTCCTTGGATAAAAAAGTATTTCGAGAAGGCCACTACAACGAGTGTAATGGAGTCCATACTTATGTACCAGAATATAGTAAACTCATTATTTGAACAGTTCAGCGAAAGATTCGACCAATTTAGAAGCCTAGAACAGACCATTAAAATAATTAAGTATCCGGATGTAGTTATTTACAGGACTTTGGAATTAAAGGATTTCCAATGGATGCAAATTGATGATTTAGAGGTGCAACTTGCAGATTTTCAAGGTAGCATTTGGACTCATGTGTTTGTCGACTTAAGGCCGAAACTTGAAAATCTGGAATGAAATCGTTTGAATAATGAAGAAGAGTGCAACTACGAACAAGAAATTTTGAGTGCTTGGAACAGAGTACCTGACACTTTTAGAGACATAAAAAATCTAGCGATGGCTTTGCTAACAATATTTTCATCAACATATTTTTGTGAGACTTTGTTCTCAGCATTAAATAATATTAAAACGAACAAAAGAAACTGGCTAACAGATGAAGTTAGTGGCGCTTGCTTGGCCTTGAAGTGCACCAAGTATGAAACTGCAATCGAAGAATTAGCAGACAAACTTCAGCACCAAAAAAGTCACTAATTTCTAGTTTTCATACCATTTGATTATCATTGTTTTTATTATTATTTTTTCCTAAATGTACATTGTTTTCCTGTTTTTGTTCATTTTATACATTTTTTTTGTTAAATGGCAGTTAAATATATAAAATAAATATCAAAAATATAAATCTTTTTTTACTACTGTTGCAAATATCAAGAAAAAAATTATGAATATTTCTATATGTGACACGCCACCAGAGTTAAGTTAGGGTTTTTCAAAATTTTGACACGCCGAGCTCAAAAGGTTCGCCATCACTGTCCTAGAGGCAGAAGGGATCAAGAGCCCATAGATTAATATGAATAAGAAGCAACAAGGTGAAGAGCACAATGGGCTCTTCAGAATGATTCAGGGTTTGAGTTTTTGCATCACTGTCAACTGTGTCCTCCTCAGGTAACAAACACAGTGTTTTTTTTTCCACTGTGTATCTCATCTGATTTCATGCTGAAATGGGGGGAAAAAAAACTGGGTAATTCAGTAAATGTATATATTATCATTACATCCAGGTTCACTTAAGACATATTTTGTATTTGAAATGTTATTTAGAATGTCCT